AGTTGGCTTTCTAAGTAATATAAACATGCAGTACCTAGCTATTTTACAATACCTAGACACTTTAATAGATGCAGACATTTTAAAATAGCTGCAACTGTTTGGAAGTTAGATACTTTAACTTTACTGAGCACTATGTATATATACTGTATTAGATTATTTCTTTATATAGAAGCTCCCCTGATTTTGATGTACTTTAATTTAGGACAAAATAAACATATGCCAAACATTTAAATGGTTTAATAATATCTGACTCTTACTAAATAAAATTATCCTTTTAAAATTATACATTTAGTTAGTATTTGAATACGGACTTATAAGTTTAGAAGTCTAACAAAAAGTTTTTATAATGAAAATTTAGGGTCAGTCAGTTTTCAAAAAAACTTTTCTTTTGAAGGTCGATACTTTTTGCAAAACAAGCTTATTTTACTAGTAAAATACATGATTATTATAATTTTATGCTGGAATATTTTCTTAATATTTTATTTAAAATCATATGAACGATTATCTTGACTTGAAAAATAATAGACTGCACTTGAGAAAAAAACAGAATATGTCATACAATACAGACTTTATAGTAGGCTAAGGAAAAATTAAAGAAAAAATAAGAAATTTTTTTTTGAACAGCAGACATATGCCTAACTACTTTTAAAAAAGACAAAGGGCAAACTAAAAAACATATAATTTGGTCTACTGAAATATATAGAAAAATAATTTATTGATTTGCTGAACAATTAATTTGAATTTCTCTGTTTTATGATTGTTTCGAAATTGAAAGTTTTTCCTGATATTGCAGAATCAATAAAACTCATAGTTAATGACTCATATCAACAGGTAAAATTCAAACATATATAGCTAACAATTCAGATTATTCTCATCAAGAATCATATAAAAGTATCAGTAGAATAAATCGAAATAATCATTTTAATGGTAACCAAAAACAAATTGGAAAAAAAAGCTGAAGGGTAAAGTTTAAAAAAAAATCAATTCAGCATCTTCAATCTCATGTTTATCCCAAACAAAACTATTTAAGACAATAAAACAAAAGCTTACAAGAAAGCAATGATGCTAATCAAGTTTGTTATGGGGATTGATGGACTGAAAGAAAATATTAGTGAGGAAACTATGTTTTGTGCCTCTTATGGAAATCAAGGTATTTGAGTTTGGATAAGCATTTATACAATAGTATCGGAAAAGTGCATGAAGCTAGCGCGTATGGAATTGCATGAGAACAAATTAAGATGATCTTATTTTCCAACTAGTCTCACATCATACATTAAAATATTTTAAGATCTTTCTTAACACAAAATTCAAAATTACAATACCACCGTAGTCAGTTATTACCTATTTCCCAGATCTTACCCAAATTTATGGATATTAAAGAAAACACTAAACGAAGTTGCTCTAATAAAAAAAGTTGAGCTAGTGAAAAGCAATAGGAGCAGGGTTCGTCTAGTGGGCCCACTTTGAAAAAACTTGCCGGGGTTTTATTGGGTGGGCCCACCTTGAAAAAACCCACTTGGTGGGTTTTTTCACAAATTGTTTTTTTAAAATTTGGTTGAAAAAGAATTATCTCCTGACACTATCATTGGACACAGCTTGGAAGTTAACAAATATTTTAGAAATGTGCATCAAGCACATCGATGGGCAAATGAAAAAAACAGCTTGATGCTCCTTTTACCAAATGATACTAGGTGGGGTTCATATTGTGACTGCGTAAAAACTTTTCCTTAAAAAATTTTATGGAAAATTTAGATAATAGACTTGATTTAGAAAAGATTTACATTGGTAGTCTTAAAACTCTTTTTCCATATGGATTAAACAGTAAATTTAATGGGGAAGGTAATGTTAATACTGAAGATTATTGTATTTATGATAAATTAAAAGTTTTTAATTTTCCTGTTTTTTTTTATTTAAAATATAGAAATAAAAGAGGAGGTGGAAAAGGTAAAGGTATTGAGTTTGATGAATTTTCGAATTTTTGTAACTTACCTGTTAATTTGAATAATAATTATTAGGAAATATATTTTTGGTTTTAAAAATAAAGTTCTTAAAAATTTCTTTATCAATTTTGGTTCTAAAATTAAATTTGATACTGAACTTATTAAATTTATTGTTTTGGATTTAATTAAATCAAAAATTGGTGTTGATAAAACTGATATGCTCTTTAATAAGGTTTCTAAAGTTGAAAGGGTTTTTTGTACGATTAATTTTCATGATAAGAAATTTGAATTTGCTAAGTTACCACAGATTATTCATGGTCTTTCTAATTTTTTTCCTTTAGAGCAAATTAGGGTTTCTGCTGCTCTTAAATATTCTTCTACGCTTAGAAAAAAGGTGTGTAATTATAATTTTTTAAGTCGAAATCTTAATTGTATTTCTAAATTCGATTGTTATTGCAATGAGAAGATTTTTCAAAATTTATTGATAATGATTATGGACATGTTATTACGGAAATTTGGAGATTGTGGGTGATCAAGATTTAATCAGTATTTTAAGTAAAGGTTCAAAATTTAGGACCAGAGTTAAAATGAAAAAAGAAGATTTTATTTTATCTATTAAAAAGGATCTTGATTTTTTTATTGCAGACATTTCCAGAAAATATCATTGGCCCGCTGAGGGTTTTTCAGAGTGGAAAGCTAAAATTATTGAAAGGGTTAAATTTAATTTATTTAATAACAGTTTTAGTTCATTTCCTAGCAGTACTTATATAGTTTATGATTTATCTAGGAAAATTAAAAACCTTAAGGATAAATTTATTGTTACTGTTGTGGATAAAGCTTCAAATAATCTTTTTATTATGTGTAAATATTTTTTTTAAAAATTGATTATTAGAGAATATAATGCAAATAATACTTATTTAAAATTAAAAGTAGATAAAAAAGGTATTGAAAAACGAATTATTGCATTTAGTAAAAAATTAAAATTTAGGTTAAATAGGATNTATTGGAGAATATAATGCAAATAATACTTATTTAAAATTAAAAGAAGATAAAAAAGGTATTGAAAAACGAATTATTGCATTTAGTAAAAAATTAAAATTTAGGTTAAATAGGATTACATTTCCATACTTATTTCCAATTGTCAAATTTCATAAAAATCCGATTAAATTTAGATTTATAGCGTGTGGTACTGATAGTTATAATTCTGATATTAGTAAAAGGTTTCTTAGTTTTCTAAAAATTATTTTGCTTAAAATTAAAAATGAGAAAAATATTGTTATAAATAGTAATGTTGAAGTTTTGGATTTTATTAATAATAATGATATTTCCAGCATTAATACTTTTGATTTCGAAAATTTGTATACAAGTATACCACATGGAAGGATTATTGAGATTTGTGACGGCATTTATGATAGGTATTTATTTAATGAGAAAATTACATTTTAATGGTTTAGATTTTTATAAACAAATTATTGGAATTCCACAAGGTAATTCCTTTTCTGGGGCTTTTGCCAATATTTTTTTACATTTTTTTAATCTAAATTTCTTGAGCATAATGAATTTAAAGTTTTTAGATATATTGATGATTTGATTTTGTTTAATTGTGATAATTATAATTTTATTTATAGTATTTATCCTGGAGATTTGGTCTTGAAGAAAACTAATGAGAATTGCTTTAATGTTGAATATTTAGATTTTAAAATTGATATTGTTAACAGTTTTATTAAAAATGGTGTCTTTGATAAAAGAAAAGTTTTTAAATTTAAAGTTATTTTTTCTGCAACTTTAAAACTAATTTGTGTAATAAAGTATTTAAAAATTTAGTTTTTTCACAATTGGTTACGATCAAAAATATTTGCAATAATGTTGAATGTTTTCGGGAAGCTGTGAATAATTTTTTAAATAATTTGAGTAATAATGATTTTCCTTTTAATTTTTGTAATGTTAATTTTTTAATTAAGAAAATGATTGAAGAATTCTAGGTTTTCATATTTTTTTCGTTCAACAGGGCGCAATTCAAGTCTTAACTGAGCAGCCCCAGTTAAGCATTCTATTAATTTGTTACGTATTTCTTTCTCTTGACTTCTTTCATTTTATTCTCCATCTGCGCATTGTAGTAGAGGGCATTGTTTTCTTCCGTTTTTAGTGCTTCCTTTTCATTCGGCTTGCTTGTGAAATCGATGTTTGACCTGGTTAAGTGAGTTTTTATTTTTCTGATGATTTTGTTTGAGTTTCTTTTCTAAATTTATTATTTGTATTTCATGTTTTTTCCTGGACTTCTATACGAAACCATCGGGGTACTGAGGGAGTTAATTTAGGCATTTGCTTCTCCCTCAATTAGAAATAGTTTTGTTTTATGGCTACCGGGGCTGGTACCCCCTGAAGACGTCGGCTTTGGTAGTCATATTTTTATTTCCTTCGTTTTCTTTATTGCTACTTTTTTTGAAATTTCTGCTGCCTTTTAGCGCGTTTTTTTCAAAGAAGTTTTATCTTTTTAGAATTAAAAATATTTGTGTTTTCTTTTAGTAATGTAAAAATAAAATTAAAATTATTTAAAATTATATAATTTTTTTTTACATAAGAAATCTATTACACAATAATACTCAAAAATAAAATAAAAACAAATATAAAATTTTTGTATCGAAATAAATTTCATTCTATGACTTTATAATTGAAATAGTTATTTGATTCAAAATAAAATTTTTACCAATACACAAATTTTATTTCAATTTGTTTTATCAATTTGCCTTATTATTATTATTTTAAAGAATATGTAAAACATTTAGTACATAAAATTTTAGTCGCCAAAGTAGATTATTAGATTTGTTCAAGATAATTGTTGTTTTAATAAATAACAGTTGGTTTAATAATTTTTAAATTGTACAGCTGAGCATTCATTTTTTCACAGTTAAAATATATTAAAAATCCCTTAAGAACAACAATGCAGCACGGAAGACTATATATGTACTAGTTGTGTATAGAAGTTGATTTATTGCGACAAATTAACTTCCAAGATACTATCAAAGACTTTGCGACAAAAAATAGTAGGAAAAACTATTTAGACATACATAGTGTAAACCAAAATAAATATTTTACCTGACACTTTTACAATTTTTAACGAAATATTTTTTCTAACGTTAGATAATGCCATGCATAATCTCGATATTGTTTCATTAGATCTTTTTCAAATAAGTATTAGTATTAATTTATGACTTCAAAACATATTTCCCCACTTTATTTTATACAAAGAATTTCGGAATATATATCAATAGTTAGCTATTATAGAACACACTGTGTAAATCTAAATAGTTTTAAGTGCCAGTGAAACTTAAATAAAAAAAAATTTGCTTATTTTTTAAAAATTTTCTTAATTTCATTTCAAATGGAAAATGCTTTCACAAAACTTGTAATTAGCAATTATGAATAATTTTTTTACATTATTTTAAATTTTTTTGTTTTAATTTAAATAAATATTTCCTTTTATAAAATCTTGTTTTTATATTTTGAATTAACTTGCAATTTAATAGTGGTCATATTTTTAATTGCAAGATGGGGGCACCAAATTATTTTTAGTGCTTAGGGCCTCAAGAGGTCTTAATCGGGCCCTGAAAATAAGCAAAGCTGAATTCTCAATGAAGTATAAAATTCAAAATAGTACCTATAATTAAAATAAAATGTAACAAGAAGAAGAAAAAACATTTTGGAAGTTATACTAAGATGGAATTTTCAGTCAAGTCAAAAAACATAATTTATCCATTATGTTCAAATTGAACAATTAATTATGAATTTAAGAAATTATGAACCTAAAAGAGATTTATGAATGAACAATCAGTCTCAATTATAAGTGAATTAAAGTTAAAGCAATAAGTTCCAACTTAACTGAATGAATCAATTCAATTTGATGCATTTTGCAGTAATTGTCAATATTTAATATGCTTACAAAAACCGAAAAAATACTAATTACAATAAACACATTAATGAAAAAAGTAACATTCAGCAAAAGTAAACATTTATTATTAATTCCATTTATTTTTCAGCTTACCTCTAATAGTAAAGGATATCCTCCAACCTTTATATTATATCCAAATTCAACAAAGAAAACATCAATGTGGCCAGTGAGATTTTTTTATCATTAGCAGTACTTGGATTAGAGACCTGAAAGTCAAAAATTATTTAATTAAAAATAAGACATGAAATAAAATGAAGAGAACAAGACTGACACAAATGCCAAAAAAACAATTTCTTAAATGTTACAAAACACCAAATACACATGCATGATTCAAATTGATTAAAGAAGCAAAACCTATAGATTAAATTTTTAAAAATATCTAAAATATTATAAAAATGTGCATTTTTAAAAAGAATCAATAAAAATAATAAATTAAATATATAAGAAAATATATTTTTTATCACTTATTTTTATGCAAATATTCAATAGAAATGAGGTTACGAAAAATACTAGCTTAATTCTTTCGCTTAAACAATGAAGGTTTCAATACAGAATTCATTGAAAATCTCAATTTTCAAAATTTACTCAATTTCAAAATTTACCACCCTCAAATTCACTCCCATTCAATTTTCAAAATAAATAAAAAAAATAATAATCCTGTTAGGATTTTTTAATGACTTTGAAGGACCTACTCAGTAACAGTCAGTATGCTGAAATACATGTCAACAAGATTTTATAACATTGAAGCATATATTAATTGTATCAATTTCACATTGTTTAATAGTTCTAGCAATTTTTTAATTTCTGTTGTTCACATCTACCAACACAAATGATTTGACAGTTGCATTGTGGTTTAATTAAGTTTGAAGATTAGCAAAAATTCTCTAATTGACATTAGCATACACGCAAACTTTTAAAGACTGGAACCAGTAGGACTTTTCATTAAAAATTTATGAAGCATATTAGAATTTGAAAACTAATATTAAGCATGTCTGTTTTAATTTTAAAAACACAATACCTCAGAATATCAGTAAAGTATTTTGGACATAATAAATTTCTTTGTAGTACAATATTTTGACAGATAACAACTTAAGATTTACAAAACTATAGTTTCCTTATAATAGATAAATTTCAAAACGTGATTGCTTAAATTTTTACAGTACAATAATTCACTATGCCTGGTTTCTTAAAACAGGCATATATAAATTGTGATATGTTGCCTGTAAATAAAATGACATGAAACATAAAGCAAGTCTTACAGATCACGTAAATTATGTACAACATATGATTTGCAAATTAAAATGCAACGTATGTTCCGTAAATTGAAGCATACAGGGTGCATTCTGAAAGTAATGCGCATTTTCTGGGAAAAATAGATTTATTGATCCTATGGGTACAAATGGTTAAAATTCTTCAAAATAGTTCCCTTGTGCATCAATACACTCGCGGAGACGATTCTGCCACGTCTGGAAGGCACCCTCAAACTCATCGACAGAAATGCCTCTCAGGAACCTTGTAACATGAGCTTGGATGTTCTCCACCGACTCCCAGTGTTTTCCCTTCAGTCGGGGGAGCAAAAAAAAAAGCCACACAGCGCCAAGTAGGGAGGCTGGGGCACCAACTCAATTCCAGCAATTCTCGAACTGCGCAAAACTCGAACTTCTTTTTGCTCCTCCGTCAACACCTTTGGCACAAGCTACGCACAGACCTTTTGCATTTGCAAATCCTCCATCACAATCCCATGTACCACACATTTTGACTAGTTCAGGGCGTTAGCGATTGCCTGAATGCTTAACCGACTATCTGACTTCAAAACTTCACGCACACAATGGACGTTTTCATTAGGTCAGGCTGATGTTGAACGTCCAGAACAAGGCTCGTCGGTGACATTCTCCAGACCTCCTTCCACACTGAGATCTCGAAATGCATTCCTCCTTAAAGTTGTCTTGAAGCATGTGATGAGTTTCCATTGCATTCTTCCCAAGTCGCACACAAAACTTTATCGCGTACCGCTGTTCCAGCGAACACTCCATCACGCTGTGACACGATCGAAAAAAAGACTTTGCGCGAAGACACATCCTACCTCTCCTACTGCTTGGAGTGACCTGAGACCAGGCTTGTTTGGAAGGACAAATCCCCCACCACAATATTGGCTCTGTTTTTTCGTTGATTAAATGTTAAACATTAACAGATATTTGTCNTAAATGTTATATTAAAGTTGTTAAGTTTTTACTGTTCTTATTTCATTTACTGAAAGCATTAGTTTCAATTACATAGACTTATATATCTGCTAAACGTTGAATGCTCGTTTTGGCTGGATGCCCAGGACAGTTGCTCTTTCACATCCTAGCCACTATACACCATAATGAGCAGAGCTTAGTACTTTAAACCCGTATGGCATTTATTCTCTCTAATATTTAATAGATCCCTTAATAAATCCTTAAAAATATAAGCCAAAAAATTTACATTAATAATCACAATTTTTTTTCTTGCACTAAAATTTAGCAAATGCATTTAAAATAATTAAAAAGAAAGCAAAAATACTGAAGAAATATTTTTATTTCATATAAACATCTAAAGACATTTAACCTCTCTGAAATTTAATATCTTACAGTATATCATAAGCTTACAGCTTACTTTGTTAATAAATTTTTATGTTTATGTGTACAATAAGCTTACAGCTTACTTTGTTGAAGCAGAAGGTGTGGTGTTGCCAAAAGCTTTTTATTTCTTTCTCTCGGGAATCTACTTCCCAGCCCTTTCGAATGCTTTGCAAAAGCAAGGCCCTATAACGGGCAGAAGTAAGCACTAATAATCAAAACAAACAGTTAATGCTAAATTCGTAGTTTCGTCGACCATTGTAAAAATGTTCTCTCTTGAAGAACTGATTTTTTCCTAAAATTGAAATTTTCTGGTGAATGTGATTATTTATTATACGTTATCTATCAAAATGTCTCGAATAGCTGGTGCCGCTACTGTGCGAATGGTTGAGAGAACTCGTCGGATGCCTACAAAACAAGCTCTGATTTTAACCTCTTCGGCTGTCAATCGCATTAAATGTCTGTTAAAGAAAGAACCTAACGCACTGGGTTTGAAAATAAGTGTAGCTCAACGAGGATGCAATGGATACAGCTATACACTTAACTATGCTGAGGAAAAAGGAAAATTCGACGAAGAGGTGCAGCAAGATGGAGTACGAATTTTTGTAGATCGAAAAGCTCAGTTAACTTTGCTGGGAACTGAAATGGATTACCAAGAGAATGCTTTGGCCAGTGAATTCGTCTTTAACAATCCTAACATAAAAGGAACTTGTGGCTGTGGTGAAAGCTTTAGTATTTAGTAGATGATGACTGACTTAATTTAAAAATTAATATATTCATTCACTGTTACTTGTACTTTATGTGATTAAAATATTTAAAATTACTTGATAGTGATAATTCTTTTTAGCATAGTTTAAAATATAGAATAAAAGGTACTTTTTGATTAGATGGTTGCTAGCGAAAGTTGCTAAATAATTTAAACCCTGTTCGAATATTACATAAATAAACAACTGCCATTTATTAAACATGTATATATTACATAAATATATATATATATTATATATGCATGAAGGATATTTTAATTTATGCATTTGGGGAGCAATCCCTTAAAAACTTTGTTTCTTATTTCTAGTTTTCGCAAAGTCAAGGCCTTAGGTAAACTCTAATAAAATAAGCATTTGTACTTAACATCTCTTTATCATAAATAAACTGCTTAAAGTTTCTAAGACAACATATTTACCAAGTTAAGTTTTAATGATTTTCTTTTAGAAGAAGGTAATAATAGTAAATACGAATAAAACAGTGCAAAGATTGTATGTAAACAACAACTATATTACATCAAAAAAGAAAGAAAAACATATCTTTTAATAGTTTTAGAGAAGTTATAATTATTCTTTGGTATTTTAAAGATTGAATATTAATTTATGTACAATTTTAAAATAAATATGTTCTCGAACTTTACTGTATCATGTCAAATCAACCAAATAAATAAGGATTTGACATCCATAATCTCAGATTTTGATGAAATTCGGCCAATTTGTTCCTTTTACTCAACTAAATAAAAATACAAAATTTTTTGGATTTATCTCAAATAGATTTGATTTTACAGGTTGTTTGTTTGGAATTTAATTTAATTGTACCAATGAAATGCAATTTGTCTTTTTGTGGAAAATAAATTACAACTTTTTCGTTTACCAAATCAATTTTCATGATTTTTTGAAATATAATTTAATATGTAAAAAATCGATGAAATATATATTTAAACCGATAAGTATTTACTGAATCAAAAACTTCATTTAGTAGTAGATGGATCGTGACCCATTGCCATCAGGCTAACCATGGAAGCTTTCGTGGTTTTTCTCTGTGTGTAACGCAAATGTTTACTCCATCAAAAGTCCTCCGTGAAGGCCAATTTCTCTGAATACTTGATCCAAGAAGTTCCCTTGCCCTCTAGATTGGGTTCCAAATTACGAGACTACGGAGTTGTACATTGGTAGTCGGAAACTCAAAATTGGGTCGACTGTACAATGAGTTATAGAAAAAATTTTTAAGTATTTTATTATTGTTATTGCATATTTATATTTTCTACTTCAAAAAATATTTTAAGACACGCCTTTATTCAGTACTACACTCTCGGAATAACTGGCAGTATTGTTCATTAAGTCAACTATTATAAAAAGTGTACTTTTGTTGTTCAATTACATAGTTAATGATTTGCAAGATTTTTATTGAGATCTACGGATTTTGGTTGAAATTCGAAAATACTAGTCTATTTAAAATGTTTTAAGACTTTTGAATAGGTGTCAAACCAAATTTTTCTTTAATAAAACATAAATAAACTCCCATTTGCACATTGAGTGTGCCACGTATAACAATCATTTAAAAATATTTCTGTTTTAACCCTCAACACAAGGGGATCAGATGAGCACACGAACATTAATCATTTTATTTTAATCAACATATCTATACAAACTAGTTTGATAATATTAAAACAAGTTATTTTGCTACTTGACCTAGTTAATGACAATTATAAACTCTTTATGCTTGAGCGCAACAATGACCCGGAGGGCTATGCCGGAGGTAGCTTGCTACTGGTAGGGTCTCCCAAGCCAGACAAGCCGAAGGGTAGGTGCCAGACTAAAAAGAACACCACCAGGAGCCAAGACAGTCTTCTACCTCACGGTGCTTCGGTCTTTGGACAACAGAAGCTACATACCCCCTCCCATGAATCAGTTGACTGGGACGATATTCATTCCTCTCCCATTCTGGTTTCGGATTTTCTCAATATCAACGGATTCATTGATCTGGTCTGACCCCATCAGACCAGATGGGAATTAGCAACAACAATGAACTCTTTATGCATTAGACTAATAGGTTCTTAAAAATATTCAAATATTTTCCTGCATTAAGTCTTAAGTAAAGTAGAGCTGGATAATTTTAAAATAGATTATAGTTATTTTAATTGTCTTAAACAAAAACTAGGAGAAACGGAAAATTTTAAAAATCTTTGTGATCTATAACTTTGACATGGGACTATCCATTAAAAAGATCAATTTTTAAAATTTAAAAATTGAGTGACATATTAAATAAGTTTTAAAAGAACTTCTTTCATAATAAAAGATTCAAATAATTTAACTATTGAACTTTCATAGATAATACAATGTTAAATTATTATTACATATGTTACCGTGAATGACCGAAATCAAGAGAACATCGACTCTCACGGGTAAATGTCTACGATGACATAGTCGCTTTGGTGAATGTCCGAAATAATTGATTTGATATTAATTTATTCATTGATATTATTATATTTATTTGATATTTTAATATCTGCTGAGGATAGATTAGGAGAAACATCAGTGTTCAGAGTACCGGTTAAATGCATATTGAGCAGTGGTACTGTACCTTAAAAGAAAAAAAACAGTAGTGTAGGGCAAACCGGGCACTTAACAGGACCTAGTATATATTTCGGACATTTACCAAAGCGACTATGCGACCAGTGGAAATCAACAACCACCCATTCCGGTCATACATGAATTATTGCATTTGGCAGTTTAAGAAGAAAAATATTATATATTTTATATATATATATATTTTTTATTTATATATAAATAAAATA